AAAATTTTTTTTTTCTTTACAAAATTTTGAAGACAATTTATTGTTTTTGATTCGAAAAAAATTTAAACAAACGCGTTTTTTCACCGGGAAAGCTTTTAATTTTCCAAAAAAAATTACAAAAAATTTGCAGACTCGGAGATTTTTTTGATTTTTAAATGAAAATTTTCCTAACTTTCCTCCCTAAGGGTTTTCCCCCCCAAAATTTATTTTTTATGGAAAACAATAAAAATTAATTAAATTTTTTTTTAAAAAAATTTTACTTTTATATTTTTTCAGGTTTTTTTTTTCCAAAACCCCTGGGTTGAAAATTCCTTTATTTAATAAACAACTTTTAAACATTTTTTGGCAAAAATCTTTACGCTTTTTTAATACAAACATATGAACACCGGGAAAAATTTTTAAAAAGGCCCAAGGGGTTTTTAAATTTTTCCCAAACTTAAAGTTTAAAAAAGTTAAAAAAAAACAAAAATTCTTTTTTTTTTCAATTTTGTTTTTTCCTTTTAAATTTTAAAATTTTCTGTGTGATTCAAAATATTAAAATATTTTTTCCCGGGCCCCTTTAATTTAAATCTTTTCCCTTCACATTTTAAAATTATGAATAATTTTTAACAAAAATTAAAAGGGACGGGGGAACCCCCGCAAACAAAAACCCTTTTCCCCTTTGGGTTGGTTTTGTTTATTATTTTTACAAAAAGTTTAAACAAATTTTCGAAAGTGAAGTGAAGCGATCGCAGGTATTTTTCTTGCTTCAAGGAAATTAGCAGTGCCCCTGGTGGGATTCGAACTCAGGACTCTCGACCCCTAAGCGCGCGTCCTACCACTGGACTACCAGTACCGTCCATGAACAGGCTCAAATTGCAGTGTTGGGCTTTCTCTAGGGATTCTTAGTTTTCTCTGTTATATAACTACCACACAAGCTTTATTATTACTATTTAGCATAAATGATTATATTTGATCCTTGATTTTATAATTATTGTCATTTTAAAATGTCATATATAATGTATTCTAATTAATAGGACCCGTGGTTGAAAAGATATTTCTTGCGTAAACTTTAAAATTTGAAATATTATATTCCTTAATATGTTATTTGCCATGTATAAATTTATAAAAAAAAAAAATTAAAAAAAAAATGTTTTTTTATTGATAATATTTTGCCATGGCAAACTTTTATGTAATTGCCATGGCAAATAAAAACATAACAATAACACCAATAACATGTCATAGGATAAGTTTTAGAATGTTTTGTGATGTTTTAAAAAAATAATTGCCATGGCAAAAGTAGGAAAAATCTTGCCATGGCAATTCTAATTTGCCATGGCAAATTATTTGCCATGGCAAAATGCCGAAATGCCATGGCAAAACACACTTTGCCATGGCAAATGCAAATTTTCAATGCATTTTTACAAAAAAAAATATAAAAGATAGAAAAACAAAACACATTAACTTTTAAACCTTTTAGTAAATTTGACAATTTAAGATAGTTTTCATTTTTTAAAGCGCGTAAAAATAGGGGTTGAATTTGCCAAAAACTGGCGCGGCAAAAAGAAACCGGCAGCTATTATGGACATATTCTTACTCTCTGGTCAGATTTGAACTTATAATGGTATGATGCACATGATCTCACGTCAACAATCTTACAATCTTTAAATTTCATTTTATGTACTTTATTATGTAAATGTGTGGATTATAAACAAAATATTGTTTAAACTAAATGTGAAATTATTTGTCAAAAAAGTAGCAAAATGTAAACAAAGTAGTATTTTGATTTCCATCCAAAATACTAAATCACTATAACTTTACTATTTGCGAAAAGAAACAAAAGAAAAACGGTTCAGGTAATTGGCGAAGTGTATCATTTTGGAAACTGTAAAAGTACACTAAAAATTAAAAGCTTTCCAGAAATAAAAACGAAAGCATTTCTTGGGCATAATGGACCTTTAAAGTGAAAACTTGAAATTCATTCTGATATAGTTGATTAACTTACCTTATTGTATAACAATAGAAGTCTTTTCATTGTAAGAAATTCTTTGAGGGACACTCCATGGTCTAGAAACAGTTCAATAAAATCAACCCTGTTCAATTGTATAGCAGAGAACATTACATCATCCAAACTTCCAGTCTGTAATACATATTTACAGTGTTTCTAATATAACTATGTGCTTATAAATTTATCATAATTTATACTCTACATGTACAAATATATTTGATATAGATGTTAATAGTGTTGCTAGTACAGGTGCTAAGGAATTCATCATATCGTCAGCCTGTACAAATATATTTTTTCTTATAACTGGCTGGGTTTTAAGTCATAACAACACTGTGTTCATGAAATATGGTAAGATCAGAGCATTTTGCAGTAAGAGGAAGAAGCTTTGACCCTTATAACATTTCACTACAATTTTCAGGTAAGGTTGGACATCCAAGGTGGAACCACCTATCTTCAGCTAGCTAGACAGATATAATTCGCACAAGAAATCATTCAATGCTCTTGGTAGAACTTGGACCCAGAGCTGTAAGAGAGCAAGTGATTTGAAATCGGAAACCTGAGTAAAACAAGACCAGTCTGCAATCATCTCCTCTTATTTCGTTGACTTTTTCACTCACACCAATGCTGAAAACTGTCACATGGGGGCATTTCAGCTTTGCTGGTGGAGGAAGACCATTGATGCTCCTTCATGCATTGTTAAAGGCTTGAGAAGCCACCTATGTATAACCACCACCTTCTTTAAGCTAGCTGGAGCGTCATCTTTCGATCAAGCTTTCTTTTGTTTATCATTCAAGATAAACTTTTAAAGCTTATTTTAAGAGAGCTACAAGTTTGAATCAATGATATCCTTACATTAGATAATTAGCATAAAGCTAGATCTTGTTTCAATTAGACATCAGATATTTATGGTTTATAATGAATTTTTTTATACAGTTAATAACATGTTAAATATTCTTCTAACCGGCCATCTTTTGTCATCTGTGAAGATATCACTTTTTGCAACATCAATTCTGTTCCAGGCGAGGGCAAGACGTAGCTGATCAAATACCTGATTCTTATTGGCTATAAAATAAGATTGAAATTGCACCGTCAATCTATTAAGGTATGACATACATGTATTCAAAATTTAGAGAAAAGTATATGTTCTTGTTAGCATTTAAAGACTTGCTTTGTCTCTACATGATTCAGATATTATTTGAATAAAATTCATGGTCAACTCATTTGTGTACTTCCAAATATGCAAAAAGACTTTCCTTTTTCAATAAAAAATGGAAAAAGTTCTTGAAACAACCTATCTATGACTAAAAGAGGTACGACTCTATTCATTTTGTAGATGAACTGCTTACCCTAGAAATACAATTTTTTCTGTCCCTGAACTGTTTTCATTGACATACAGGTAAGTAAGCTGGATTTTCCAATTTCAAAAGCACTGCACTTATTCCATTTTTCTTGTAAAGAATGTCTTGAAATTTACTACTAAATACAAGATTATTTTTACCTTTCAATAATGCCTGTAACATAGCTACATCAATTTCTTTAACCCCTGACTTATTATCTAGCTCAAACACTGACATGAGATCACATTTTTCTAGACAATCTTTTATACGACCAACATGTGTGTCTACATCGTTTTTAAACTCTTTTTCCACCATCTCTTTAACTTCTACCAGCAGGGAATCGTCCATGAATCTTCGTGCTCTGAAAATAGCATATATATCAAGATGACAATAAGAAAAACCAAATCAGACCACAAATAGCAAGCCTTTGTTTCCTTAAGCAAGAAAACTCAACATTCATTGCTCAAATGTTTTATGTTATTAGTTGGTGAATATCTTTTTTTGTTTGTTTTGGTTTTGACGTCACATTTACACAGTATAGGTCATATCGCGACGTTCCAGCTTTACTGGTGGAGGGAGACCTAAGGTGCCCTTCCGTGCATTATTTTAGGCACAAACGGGCACTTGAGTAGAACCACCGACATGTTCCGTCAGCTAGCTGGATAGCTTCCTCACATAAAAGAATCCAAAGTCCCTGTCGGGATTCGAACACACATCGGTGAGGGGCAAGTGTTGGTGAATAATTAAAATCTAATGAACCACAATTATGAAACCATTTACATTAATATACATGTATTGGAAGTTACAAAAATTATTACTTGTACTGGTTTCAAAGATTTAAAGATAAAAAGTCTTGCTTAAGATATGGGTCTTGTTCAATGACATATAGTTATGACACTGGAGATATGCACAAGGTTTTAAGTGAACACATTTGTACTTTAACAGTTAATGAGATAAGAAAGTTTACATGATTTTATCATTTGTGTAGTGTATTGGCTTATATAAATTTAAACATGATTTATTCAAATAAACATTATCTAATGATTCTGTCTATAACATAAATCAACTTCTGATGGGTGATGTATAGCATTGTCTGAGTCAAATCGCTATAAAAAGTCCAAATAAAACAAATCAATGCACTTCAAAATCTGTACAAAGTGTACATGCAAACTCTGATACCAGGGTGGATAAGACAACCCCACTATTCTCAGAACAATAAAATCAAGGTAAAAAGTAAAATTAAACACTCTGTAGTGGAGCAGTGGCCTTGTGGGTAATGTGTCTACCTCTCAATTAAGGGATCATGGGTTCAAGCCCTACCCGGGGAACGACCATGTTTCTTCAAATACCACCAGTACTGGTTAGTTCCAGGAAGCGGACTCGAACATGATTAATATAAGTTGTTCTGCAATCAAGCTTAAATAAATATGTTTAAACTAAACACATTGCAAACAACATACTTTTTCTGTTTCTTTCCTTCCTGGTCTGTGGCTTCTATTTCTTCTTCCTTCGAGTTCTGATAAGCGTATGCTAGAATATCAGCAGCTCTACCCGACCCCTTCACTATTACAGATGGTGTGTTCTTATGTATAGCTTGATGTACATTCTCCAACGTACCTGGCCCGCCCTCCAACACTAACAACACTATAGGCACTGATACAGCATCTGTTTAGAAAGTATAATATAGACTATTGAGACAAAACTTCACATAAAAGTATATAACTAAGTTACATAGTTACAATAACATTTTCTTGGCAAAACAAAAGTTTTTGTTATTTTTTTCAACTACTGTGGCAATCATAATACATGTATAGCAAATCTAATAACACTGGACTCTCACTAAAATGAGAAGTCTGTTAATTAATAAGGTTTGCTCACAGGTGGCGCTTCTGATCACATTACAGACCCTGCAAGCAAGCTTTTTCCATGCTTTTCCTCTTCCAGAACAAACCATTGACTATTCCCACTATGTTTTAGCAACTGCTGTCGGATGGATTTGCTTGCATGACTATTCTCAGTGCATGATAGTAAAACAAAAGCCTGAATGATGTCAAATTTTCTAAGAACAAAAGGGCTATAATTCTGTAAAAGATCATGTAAGAGCTAAGGGCTTTTGACAGTGTCCTTCTATTATGTTCTCAAATAAGTGTGTGAAGTTTCAACCCAATCTCTTCAGTAGATTTGGAGATACCAACTTGCATGCATAAAATTAACAAAGGTGGACCCTGACAACTGGGTGAGTACAATTATTATAGCTCTCCCTATTCTTCAAATAGATGAGCTAAAGAAAATCACTTAAATTGTATATAAAAATTATATTTTAGCAAATAATCGTCTGATATATCTCTACATACTGTCTCCTGTGTCTGTTCTTATTTTGGCTATATTATTTTCCAGTCTTGTTCTAAAGTCAATCTCCATAGCAAACTTGTGTTCTGTAGCATTATCCACTAGGATAAAATGTGTATGGTTAGGGTCCAGAAAACTCTCGTGAGGTTTCTGTTCATTCTCAATTCTGTAGTTAGCTGGCCATAGTCCTGTACACTGTGAAACAAATATGTACTTATATTTAGATAATTATAAATCATAATCAAGTTAGTAAAGTCTCTTGAAAAAGGTTAGCTTTTCTCAGTAAAAAAAACCCAAAAAACAAACTGATGATGAAATAACAAATTTAGGAATAGCAAGACAACAAAAACAATTTTCATAACTGTAAAAGACTTTGCACTTAATAATTTGGTGGTTAAATTTTTGTAATAGCAGCTATGAAAAAGTTTGAGATCCAAATTTATTTTTGTAATTTAGATGGAGAAGTCTAATCCCTTTGTAACATCTTTGTTTTGTTCCCTGATAAACTATTTCTTTGTATGATTTCAAACACATTCCTCATTACAACTCTAATACACTCAATTAGCATATAAACAATACATCTATTCTGAATCGTGCTTATTTTGCAAATCAAGTTTGAAGTTACGTATTCGAAAGGCAAGACTTAGGAAAATAAGGAAAAATATTATATACTAGTACTTATCAATGAAATTATGAGAAATATTGATGAAATAAAATGCATATTTTCAATTTCCATATTTTCACAGTAAAATTTACTTATCACTGCAGTGTAACATATTTTCTGTATTTTTACTGGTGTCTTGCTATTGCCACTCATGAAATATTTATTGCCATATCACTCGAAGAAAATAAATCCTGTATTTATAGAAAAAAACATGAATATCCTCTATATGTTCAGTTATAATTTTTTGAAATAAGAATTTTACAAAAATGGAATTGTATCAACCTGATCATCAATGAGAACTTCTTTGTTTTGTATACAGCCCCACGGTGCTATACCAATTGAGATGACAGGGTTCTTTGATGTTGATGCCACACCGAAATCTTTAACAGCTTCACCTACGTGTTTCATCACACCCGCATGAGTCCCTCCTGTCACAATCCAAGCTCCTGTCAATATTAACAAGAAAATTAACCTGACCGCCTCCGTGGTCGAGGGGTTAGAGTCGATGACTTCTAATCCAGTTACTTCTCTGGTGTGGCTTCGATCTCCGGGATATTCTTTGGTAGTTTAGCACGGAGGAAGGTAGTCTAGTACTGGTGTAACTCTTCAGGAACGATGGTTAAGAAATTACCCGCCTACATGACTGAAATACTGTTGGGAAAATGCGTAAAATGAAACAAACAAACAAACAAACTTGATAACCTCTCTTTTTTTAATCCTTAACCTGTTTTATTTGTTTTGTTTGTTTCTGTGTTTTTTATCCTGATCTTAACACATTTTTAGGGTCATATTTCTATATTATTTTGTGTAACAGCTTAACCTTGCTTAAAATTTGGAACAGTCCAATAATATCTTAAGGGGAGTTAATAGAAAAACAAACTTAATAAGAAAAAAAGAGCTTGCAAAAGTATTCAGCCTGGTCAGACTGTACAGATGTGCAGGCCTGTCTGGCTCTATACTAGTCTTAAAGGCTTTGTAGTTTTGGGTACAGCCTCCTAAGGATTAATGCATTCAATACATTAGGCCATCCTGGTCACTTTTTACATCTAATTTCAATCTGAAGATAGTTGTTACAAATTTTGTTGCTACAGTACGTAATTATATGTGTTTAAATTTTAATATACTAAAATGATCTACAATAACTTAAACTTGAAAATGTCCTTAAATTCTCAATGTCAAACATAGCTGGCTTTTAATTATTTCAGAGTGAAAATCCTGTACATACAACTAAAAAACTTGTCATATCTTTAGTAAACTCTTATGCGAAAAAGTATTGTGAATTTGTTTAGGTTTTCCTATAACTAAAAACATCAAATATTTACTTGCTAATGAGAGAGATTGTATGGAGAGACAGATTGATCAAACTTTACCTGTAGTTAAAGCAGTCTTCATCAGACCTCGTCTGAATGTCTCCTTGAGTCGTTTGTTCATTTGAAAGTTTTTGGCACCACCAGTCACTGAGATGAGAAGATTTGGCTTGTCAAGTCCCCATACCTCCATCATCAGGTCTAACATGTCCGACATCTTTGTGTCTACGTCTACCCGTACATACTGTAAGAAAATTAAACACAGGGTTCTCGCTAGGATTTTCAACATATGAGTCCTGCCTGGGACTCCCACTCCCAACCCAAAAGAAGTTGGAAGTCTGAAAACAGGTCTAAAATATGATCAGCCATAATTCATACCTTCCATTAATAATGTGGCAGCATGGCAGAGTGGTTAACATGTTGGACTGGTAATCTAAAGAGTTCTTGCCACTTTGGTCCAAACCATTCAAGCCATTGTTTCATTAAGTAAGAGACTTAACACTCAATGCTCAGTACCTGTTGGTTACTTTCCCACATTACCACCATAGCATAAAAGTGGAATTGTGATATTTTTACTATTCATACAATTTCCACCATAACATAAAAGCAGAATAATGATATTATTTACAGTTCCCACTATTTCCACCATAACATTAAAGCAGCATTATGAAATTGTTTACCTTTCCCACATTTCCACCATAGCCCTCAAATTCTATGTCTCCAAACGCATTTGTTGTTTTCTTGATGGAATGTTTGTTGTAGACCCACTTTTCAAGGTGTCTTGTGTCTGAATTTGGAATATGTTTGTTGTAGGCATATCCACACTGGCAATTAACTTTTCTCCTCCTGTAGAAAAAATAATAGATTGATCAAGCTTTTTCATTTTTAAATCTATGTCAAAATTTAATACCACTTGAAATTCTTCACCGTCTCATCTTGACTTGTTGGGTCTGAAGTCACTTTCACAGAGCATTCACCATTTTAGGGTAAATTTTGTCACACCAAAAGAGTGTTCGCCATTTTAAGGTTTAGAATTCTTTTGAAATGTTCACACATTAAGGGTAATTTTTGTCACACCTGAGGTGTGTTCACCATTAAAGTTTTAAAGTCACTATAGTAATGTTCACCATTTCAGGGTAATTTTTGTCACACTTTAGGGATGTTCACCATTTCAGGTTAATTTTTGTCACACCAGAAGTGTGTTCACCATTATAAGGTTTAAAGTTCATATTGTAATGTTCACCATTTCAGGGTAATTTTTGTCACACTTAAGGAATGTTCACCATTTTAGGGGAATGAAGTCACTATTGCAATGTTCACAAATTTTGGGTAAATCACCCCCTGAAGAGTGTTCTTCGTTTCAGGGTTTAAAGTAACACCTGAAGAGTGTTCACCATTAAAGGGTAGAGTGTTTGTCCTTTCAGGGTTTAGTTCACTTCTGAAAAGTGCTGTAGAGAGCTCACAATTTTAGGCTTTATTTATTAGGTCAGTCATGGAGAATTCATTATTTAAAGGTTTAAGGTAGCTCGCTACTTTCCGACCGAAATTTGACAACATCTCAGATCTTGATGATTTTTTGGTATACAGACATGTAGATATGTAAGCTTTACTTCTGCAGCATTATTCCATAAATAAACAGCGTTACTATGACGTCAAAGCGCCCTCTATCGGTGACGGCGAAATTGCGTCTTTTTATCAATAAACCGGTCTGTTCTTATCAAGTTTCATCCGATGTCCTTCATTTTAATTTTATAATGTTCAATAAATGCATGTCTTTGTAATGATGTATTTCTTGAACATTTGCTTAATACTCTGCGATTCTACTTTATTTTCTCCCACGTTCTGACGTCCATATATGATGCAAATATCGCGCGATATCGCAATAAAGATTGTGAAATAACAGAAAATCAACAAGGTGATATTGCTTTAATTTTTTAAACATGTAGCGAAGTCATGAAAAAAAATATTTATGCAATAAAAATATAGGGTCAACGCGTAAGATATTTTGCTATTACTATTTGAATATAAAATAAAGGGTGAGTAAAACATATTGATTTTGGTGACGTCAAATATTTTTCTCAAGGAACAGTCCGCTCAGCGCGGCTTTTGCAAAACCCGCGTGTCCCCGCGGATGTGACTCAACGCGGACGAAAATTTGCTCAAATATTGTCCGCGTAACCCCGCGGACAGAAAATTTTCACCACCGCGGACATAAATCTTCAGCCGTTAGCGTTTCTCCCGCGGACCACTGTGGTTAATTGCGGGGGAACGCAGTGGTCAATCTCCGTGGACCGCGGTGGTATTCAATCGTGAAAACGATTGAATTTTACAAGTATTTTATGGAACTTGTAAACTTTATGAAAAACATGTAATAGTACAGTTAAAAATTTATATTAGGGTCTACTAAAATAATTTATTTGCTTTTATTTTCCATTTCAGAATGTTTTTGGACGTCAATTTCAGAAGTTGCAACAGCTAGCGTCCGGGGCCGTACCGCTAGTCAAAAGTTATTGCAACCTGTATTTTTTCCCTGACCCCGATTATTTAAGTTAACGTAATAATGCATTTATTTCCGTGTGAATAGACATAAGTTTTGAAATGACAAGCTGTTCGGGCCCGTTTTGCTACCAAAAAAAGTTATTTCACCAGGTATTTTCCGTATTTTCCAGGAAATCCGATCGTTCAATCAGTTACAGGTGTAAACATATTTTTTTATACAAATGAGTATCCCTATTTACCGACAAGAACCGTCAAAGACCGACAAGAACCCATGAGTTGCTAATTAACATGTACTCGTACATGTTTAATATATGCATGGCTTATTTATTTTCTTTTAATCTGAGTGTTTGTTTTTTGTTTCGTTTCTTTATAATATTATATAGAAAATTAAAAATATGGTGACAGACAAGAAAAAAAAATCTGATGCAACGCGTGTACTGTAACGTTCATACCGACAAGAAACCTTTTGTAACTTAATATAATCAGTTGCAAAGTTTGTGTTGAAAGTATTTTATGAACATGTTCCCACTTTTCATTGAAGACATTGCATGAATATCTATGACTACCGACAGGAAAAAATAATCAGACATTCTGCGTAGCGAAGATTTACCGGCAAGACATTTTATAATTATCATGTATTTATTTCATTTCTAGATATATTTACAGTACTGGACAAGCGAAACCCGCACAATTCGCGTATTCGCTTTATAACGCGAGGGAATTCGCGGCAACTTGAGACAATTCCCGCGAATTCAACTCGCGGCGATTTTCCGTGAACATTTGCAGTGATTCGCCGGGAATAATACATGTTACTTTGTATAATATATGTATGTTGTACTCTATGAACTTGAAACCATTCGTATTTAAATAATATACAATGTCATGTACATGTATGAAAATTAATAAGTAGATCTACATAAAGTTGTATCAAGAAAATCTTGTAATTTTTTGTAATTAAATTATTTTATTGTCGACTAATCAACTTGCATCTTGCTACTTATCACCTTCTCATCTCATTCACCTGGCATTTTTTTAACTCGTGAAATTGAAAGTAAAGAAAGTCTCAATTTAAGTGATAAAACATTTACAATTTTCAACAATTATAATTAGCGTATTAGACATAATAATTAGTGTTCACCTGTGAATCGGTAATAAATGTCACTCTGTATTGTTCTAAAAACAGAATATGTGCGAAAGTAAACAACGGATTTTAATTACATTATTTTGTATTATTATCAAAGTAACAATTGGAAAATTTGTCATCGTGTGTTCTTTGATGTAGTTCCAATTACATTTTGTAATTTTAATCTCATTTAGTTGTTAACTAATTTTCATCCAGCACCTGATTGCTTTGTTTTCAATACAAAACGTATACGCTGTACAATGTACTGTACATGTTCAATAGGGCCCGTAAGTCTCGTTTACTTTCACTTCCGATTTTCCACTTCCGGGTACATCGGCAGACATATTTACCATTACGCATATAGGTAACCCGGAAAAACTCAAGAGATATAGAAGTTAAATTTGTTTCGAACCTCTTCAGATTGTCAGGAATGGAAAGCACGGGTAAAAATATGCAGGTAGGTCAATTATCTGACGAAAAACCGAGGGTTTTATAGAGTTTTATAAAACTAGTTTTATTTTCGGATAATGACAATTTTTTCGGATGTTTTGTCAAGGTAGTTAATTCTAGTTGTTTAGCTTTTGGTAGTGTTTTAAAACTACTTATGTGAGAAATTTATTCAAACCACTTTATTTATTGAAATAAACAATGGAGAAACGCTTTAATTCTAGTGTATATTAAAGTTATACAAAATTCGGACATAGCACAGTAATTCGGATATATCTTCCCTTCAATTTTATCAAAATTTCAAAACTTATATTGGTATAATAAACCCCAGATCCCAAGTATGAGTTTTGTTAATTAAATCAGAAAGGATATATCATAGATGTATGCAAAGTTTAATAGTATAGATCCATTTCTAACTATGGAGAATAGTATCAAGACACTAAAACTTTTTCAATTATATATGCATGTGAGTATGGTACCTAGCAAATAAGCTTACAAATTTGCATTCAAAGCTTTGAAACCAAGCTGACAACTCCATGATAATTTGTTCATGTAAATTTTCAAAGTCTTTACATTTGTAAAAGGAAATATGCCTATTTTTGTATCAGTAGACATTCACAGTATAAAGTCAAATTGTCTAAATAACTAATAATAATTTCAAGTGCTTTCCTGAGTGAAGTTTTTTCCACTGGAAAATCAGTGTGATATATTTGCAAAGCAGTGGACTATAATTTGTGTAAAAATAAAAGTTTATCAAACTTATAAACTGTTTTTTGTTTCTTCTTGCTGTTCTTGATCATAAGGGTTCATCTGCAAAATAAGTGTGTACTTAAATTCTCCAACAGCAATGGCTAGATTGCAGTAAATACTATGCATGTCATTTGAATTTGTCTGGCCTAAAATCGAAACAGACACTATCTAAATAATATTGATGAATAGTTCTTTATAGCTCTTCAATGACTTCATTTACTTTTATGTACATGGACAGAAGTTAAAAGCATTGATTTTTTTTAAACATTGACAATTTTGAAACATTCCCAATTTGGGTATTTTAATGTATCAGTGATATAATTGTATTGTATCAAGTGCAAACCCTAAGTTTTGCATGTTTTGTATAGATAATTCACTTTTGGTCAAATGCCAATACATTATATTACAGGTAATTTGAAACACAAAGAAGTATATGGTATGTAATAACTGTCCCTCTGACACTAAAATCTTTCAAGGAATGGATAATTGCATGTCTTCTCCAATTTTGTGATTAAGAGACAGACTTGGGCTTTCAAGGGCTAGCAAGCTAGTGTGTTGCAACTGAATACTCAACACAGATGAATTGCATTAATATTGTTTACTCTGGTATTACTTACTACCTGCCATGTACAATGCAAACCATGGCAAACCATGGCTTTTCTAAGAGCAGTAAAAGTCTTTTTGTGGAAGGAATTTTACACATCTTGCCTCAGAAACAAGTTTTCTTTGATATTTACAGATTTATCTTAACTGTTTTGAAACTGAATGATGCCTGGTTGAAACTGTTTTGGACAGCCATTTGCAGAAGATAAATTATCTTTGAATATAATTCAGTAAATATAAAGTTATGACAGGTTATTTATTTCTAACAAAGAGTTTGAAAGACAGATGTCTTGTTTAACATTTTTACACTGACATATGTCTTTGAAGTGTCTTCAACCGTAGTTTTTATTAGAATACAAACATTCAGTCAGACAGTTTACACGAGCCATGGAGCTCTAAGAAGCTTTAATTCAGTCAAAAATCT